TAATCTTACAAAGGGTAATTAAGGGTTTGCTTGTTTTAAGAAACTAGTGCAGAGCCCGTGTGATGCACGGGGTGCACAATTTTAAGACTATTTATCCAGACTTATAATTATATACATGAATAAAGAAAAATATACAGGATATATGTAGTACATGACCCGTGCGAGGCACGAGATATATTTATTTGGGGAATATTATATTATAAGATGTAATATTAAATAAAAGTTTTATAATAAGTAGGAAAATTGTACAATAAAATAGTATTGGACAAAGAAATAATCATATATTATTAAATCTACACAAACTATAAATATTAGAATGGCTCAATATTTTGAGATTTATAATTTATAATTAGTAGAGTAGAATCAATATCTGTTAAGATTTTTAAGAAAAAATCTTGATATATGGAAATCACACTATATGTAGAGGAAGAATGGGATGGAGACGAATAAAATATTGTTCAAGTTTTAGTTTATATGAGAATTCCATGCAATATGGGACTCTTCCAATTATTCAGAATTGTAATATTCGAATTCAAAGCAAGATGGGATTCTGTACAATTATTTAGCAACTTACTTTCCAATTAATTGATGTATTACATCGGATAAATGCGGACTAAATATTGTGAAGAGTTGCAAGCAAGGGGGATTCTTTCCATTTATTTAACAACTTAATTTGTACACACCAAGAAAATATTGTATAGTTTTTTTCGATGAATGTTGTGAATCAATTTTAAAAAACAATGTTTTTAATTAATGTCGTATTTTTTTTTTTTTTTGAATATCTATATAAATTTATATAAATTGATGTCGTCCAAAAAAGTTTTATTTAATTTCATAATTCATTCCTAATAAGAATCCAATATGTAACTAATTTGTACACGTGAATATCTAAACTTTTAGCGGATTTTGTGTTGAATAAAAAAATCAGATTTAGATGTAAAACAAAAATTTCGATATTTTTGTGGGAAAGTTAAAAAAAAAAGCCAATCGGATTTGTTGTTGCACGCCGATTTAATTGTGCAAGCTAGAATTAAGGAAACACTGCAATTAAGGAGCCGTTTTTTGTGTTTATTCACAATTGTCCAACTATTACTATAATTAGGATATATTTAATAATTATGGCGGGAAAAACTTTCTAAATTTATAAAAAAGTTATTCTTTTTATATAATGATTGAAACAAATAAACATAATTATCTTGAATTTAAATAATATACAATTGTGCATATGATTTAAAATAATTAAAACAATTAATATATTACACACATATAAATATATAATATTTATATTCATTTGATATTAAATAATTTTATCTTTTATGTATGATATAATAATTATTTTTTTAAAATAATTAAAATATGTGTTAACAATTTTTTAAGTTTTAATATTAATGATATTTAATAAGTTATGTAATTGGACTTTAATTTTCAAAATATAGTTACATATCTATATGGGCTCTTGTTTTAAACCATGACCAATAATATTTGAAAGTGGGCTTTCAAACATTCACTTATTCAAACCCGAATTTCCGGCCCATTAGACATTTCCAGCCCATTAGTATTTTTCCGCCCCGAGATCTTGTAAGCTATTTCAGGCCCATTAGTATATTTTGTCGTGAAAACCAGGTCATAGCCAATCGGACGGCTAATAATATGCGGTTGATATCTAACGGTCAAGAATCAATAGAAGCACATATATAAGCCAAACAAACCCGAAAAATTAGGGTTATTCATTTTGTTCGGTGTTTACCTTTCTCTCTCCAGTTCTTACCATTTTCTCTCGTCTTTTTCAATGGATTTCATCGTATTGATCTTATTTTATGTTAATTTTTAGCGTTTATGTTGATAGATCTGAGCTATTGTTGGCGATCTTATAACAGATCTGAGCTATTGTTAGCTATCATCTAACAGATCTGATCTATTCGAGCTCCAAATTTTTGATTTATTTTTTCGATTTTGTTTCGAGTTTGAGAGTTATCTAACAGATCTTAATGATCGATTGTTAGTATTATCTCCATCGAATACTACATGCTGCATATGTTTATAAGACGGAATTCGAAATTCAAAAATTTGGGTTTTTCTCGATTTTTTTACTGTCCACAACATTATTTTCTTTATTTTTTTCACCAATCTGAGCGCAAATTCGAATAATGATTTTTGAGAAATTTCCGATGGACAGCGCCGGCGGGATTTTTCACACGGGCTATAGCTATGGCGCTCAATTCGCGCCGGAGAGGAGGCTCTCTGACGCCAAGACCAACGACCCTTTCGTAATTGAGGACCTCTTGGACTTCCCTAGTGACGACGGCGGCGGTCTCGAGGCGGCGGTGGCGGTGGAGAACACTTCGTTATCATCGGTCAACACGACCGAGGATCCGCCACTGGGTGGCTTCCACTCCGTCGGCGGTCACTTTTTCGGTGACCTTTCTTTGCCGGTACGCAATTGAATTATTACTATTAATAATTTTGTTTGGACTTGCCTTGGTTAATTCCATTTTACCCCAGCCTGAAGCCTGATTAACGCAGTGTATTGTAGCTCTTATTTTTGCTTTTTGGATAATATTATCCCACATTGGTATTGTTATATAAATCAATCGTCATATTTTATGTTAAAATATATATAATTATGCTGTAAATATTTGTTGACTTTTATTGAATTTGGCAAATGTATTATTAAATTAATTACTTAGTTTTTATACCTTTATCTTTTTTTCGAATGCAGGAAATGTGGCCAAAAATAGAGGAAATTAAAGCTGCTTGGGACTCTCTCCAATTATTTACACGTGTGATGTAATTGATTGCAACAAAATTGGATAATTTTCTCACTTACCATAAATTTTCTACGCGTTTTTAAATTTAACAAATTCAAAAAATTTCTTCACACACGCCTCATTTACTGGAATTTGTGTACGCGTTTTTTAAATTTTTAAAAGAAGATTTATTGATTAAAATTCTGACGCACTTTTTAATGAAGGAAAACAAATGGATAAGGGAAACAAATTATATCAAAATAAAGCTGCGATTTTTAATGAGTAAAAAATGGAAGGTTAATGAAATCTGATCAGTATGTTATCATTAATGTCTGAAAATCTATTTTTAGAAGTCATTAAATGCTGTTGGCGGGAAAACATTGCTAAAAATGTTAAATGGTTAATCTTTTAATATAATGATAGATACCCAAAAAAATCAAATTTTAACTTAAATTGTAACTCAATTTTAACTCAACCATATTATTCTCAATATTATCAATAGAATTCAATGCATATGTTATAAAAATTCAATGACATAATTTCTTGTAGCATTCGGTCAAACTTCAAATCTGTCACTTTTTAACGATTTTTGACAAAAAATGATTAGTTTTCAAAAGGATCAATATTATTTAAATTGGAACCTCAAAATATTACTAACAAAAATGCTTGAAATATCATTCTGGCATCAAAAGTGAAATTTTTTTCAAGTATTGACAAACTCTTTGAAAAAGTTAATTTCTTTAAATAACAAACTACTTTTGAAGTATTTAAAATTTAAATATCTCAAAAGTGAAACTCGTAGGAAGATCAACATGCAATATTTTTCTACACCCAAACTGCAAATGATAACAATAGTAAAAAGACAAATTCCACCAAAAAAGAAATTAATTTATTATTATCATTATTTTTTTTCTCTCTAATTTTGAAAATGCCATTAAATAGTACACAAGCGAATCAAGTTGATGTGAGAGCAAAAAAGGAAAGTGTGGCCCCATTTTTATGTCCTCCCAACCACTTACAGTAGAGACAACTGTACACAGATGCATTTCATTTCCCAGCTGTGATAGTCCACGTGTAATAATATCATTGGCTTTGCTCCTTTTTTTTTTTCTGTTTCCCCCCAACAACGACCAGCCTTATTTTGTGTCTCCTCAAGCCAGCTAAGCCGAGACAACGGCTCCAAAATGACGATTTCTACTTTTGGCCTATGGACCAAACATTGTACTGTCAGAATTTACATGCAATTGGAATTTACGTACAATTAGGCTTAGAATTTTAATTATGAACCAATTCAAATTCTGAAATAAAAGGGTTGTTGGATGGAATAATTTGTTAAATGAAATGAATCACTCGTGACCACTGTTTGATTTGTTAATCAAACCGATTCAAAATTTGGAATAAAACAAGAGTTAATTAGGTTGAAAATGTAATTAGGCAACTAGAGTTGTTAAATGGAATTAGTTGCTCGTGAACCCAACTCAAGTCGTTAATGAAACAAGTCGGGCATATGAGCTCATTGAAAGTTCATTTAGTTAACAAGTTGGGCTCGCTCGCTTGTCATGACTAAAAAACATGAACTTTTGTATAATTTTCTATAATTCAGTTTGTTAAGACTTGAGTTTGGTTCATTAAGGCTCGAACTCGATTCATTAATAGTGACAAATAGTAGAGCTCGGTTATTGACTTGTTTGGTTAACGAGTCAAGCCGAGCTCAACTCATTAGAAGCTCAAACTCTAATACCATAAGCTCGAACTTGACTCTGACACATTTACATTCCTAAACACAAAACATAAATGGTGACACAATGTTTGTTTCTACCTCCAATATTATCAATATAATTAAATAATATCAACCAATCATTTAACAAATCATCCTTACACATCACATCAACTTTAATTCACTATTCATCCACTCACATAATTTTAACTAACAACCACTTCCAATCACTTTTCTCTTATTTTTATATCATATCAACTTTAATTATTTATTTTAAATATTATTTTAATTTATTCACTAACAACTAACCATACCAACTTTTTTCAAAATTAACTATAATTAAAAAAAACTAATTAATTTCTAGATAAATTCATAAACAATCACCCGTAAGATTCGAGAATATTGAATTTTACCTCAATTCGACTCATCAACCATCAATTTGACTAATTAATATTAATAAACGGATCAAGGTTTGACTAATTAATATTAATAAACGGATCCGACCTTGATGACGAGGAGCTGTAGCTTTCTAGTGAAGCCTTTGAAGAAACCAAAAAAGAAAAAACAGCAATATTATCGGACTATATAAACCCCATAACTCTCAAACCCTCATTCACACCACTTCACTTGAACCAAGAACACAGCTCTCACTCTCAAGAGTCTCAACAATCAAAATTATAATTTTTCCTCTTTTTTTAGAAAAAAAAAGGGAAAAAAATTCGCCTGTTTTGTTGCCCTTTTCCTGACAAAACTGCAGCAAACATGTTGAAGAAAAATCTGACTGTAATGATCCTTGCGGCGTTTGTGGTGAGCTGCCTGAGCTCGTCGAGATTCGACGAGCTTTATCAGCCCAGCTGGGCCATGGACCATTTTACCTACGAAGGAGAGGTTCTAAGGATGAAACTCGACAATTCCTCTGGTAAAATTGATTGTAACACTGTTCCTGTGTCTGCTGTTTCAAAATTTTCTTGTTTTTGTTGGGTTAAAAATCGTTTTCTTTCTCTCTTTCGATTTTCAATGTTTCTGGGTTGATAAGTTTCTGGGATTTCTTGGCTTTTTTGTTAAAAGTCGCATCTTTTTGTGTATGCATTTCGATTTTCATAGTGCTGATCACATTGCAATGTAGGTGCTGGGTTTTCGTCAAAGAGCAAGTATATGTTTGGGAAAGTCACTGTTCAGATCAAGCTCGTGGAGGGTGACTCTGCTGGCACTGTCACTGCCTTCTATGTAAGCTTTCATTTTTTCAAGAAAGCATTATACTACCTTTTTTCTGCTTATTTCATTGTAACAGTTGTTTTTCATTATACTATTAGTATTGTTTAACTTATGAAACTTACTGTAACTATTTAACAATCAGTTCCTAACTTATATAGAATGTGACATTCCCAATTTCTTTTCACTTAAATCATTACAGGGCCATAATATAAATCTGATCTTGATGAGGTTTCAGTACATTAAAACTCTCAAAATACATAGCTGGGCCTCATGGCCCTCATCATTACAATCTTGTGAATGCTTTTTACCAGTTTGTCACCTCGTACCTTATTTTTGCTCCATTGATCATTTCATATTTTCAATCTTGATTATGTTTAAACAATACACGCAGATGTCGTCCAATGGCCCGTACCACAACGAGTTCGATTTTGAATTCCTGGGGAACACCACAGGGGAACCTTACCTCGTCCAGACTAATGTGTTCGTTAATGGAGCTGGCAACAGGGAACAGAGGCTCAAGCTCTGGTTCGATCCCACCAAGGATTTCCACTCATATTCCCTTCTATGGAATCAGCGCCAAGTTGTGTAAGGCCTCCATATTGCCTTGCCATGGCTTTCTCACACACATATATGTTTGTTTGTGTGTTTTGTTTTTGGTGCAAATGATAGAAGTAAATAAATGGGGACTTTGCCTGTGGCTGTGGTGCATTCTGAATTTCTGATGGGATTTGATTGCCCTGAAAAAGTTCAAAATTCTTATATTTTGGGTGCCAACATCCTTGCAGCCCATGTATGTATATGGTTTTGGTCATTTGCATCAATTTGAGTTCTTTATATGTCTTATCCATCGTTTAGCTTGATCAATTGGAGTTCTTTGCCGGTGGTCCATTTTGAACTTCTGATGGGATTTGATTGCACTGAAAAGGTTCAAAGTTCTTATCTTTTTGGGTGCCAACATCTATGCAGACCATGTATATATATATGCTTTTGTTCATTTGCATGAATTGGAGTTCTTTATGTGTCTTATCCATTGTTTAGCTTCATTACCAAAAAAAATGGATCATTTTCCAAAAAATCACAAAATAATACATATTCTAGATGCAAATTTGAAATTTAATACAGTAATAAGTGCCCTTCTTTACTGAGTAGTTAGCTTCATGAATACTTTCTGCAACTTTCAACCCTTTGGGATGGTAGTTTTGAACAAGTGCCACTGTTTTTACTAGTGTCCCACATGGAAAAAGATCCATTTGCAAAAACCACCATTAATTAGTATTGACTAATTATCCAATAATCTATTATCTTAATAATAACTATCTCGACGAATTTTCGCAGATTCTTGGTCGACGAGACGCCCGTTCGAGTCCACACCAATTTGGAACACAAGGGCATACCTTTCCCCAAGGACCAGGCCATGGGAGTCTACAGCTCTATTTGGAATGCGGACGATTGGGCCACGCAAGGTGGGCTGGTCAAGACCAATTGGGCCCATGCGCCTTTCGTGGCCTCGTACAAAGGCTTCGAGATCGACAGCTGCGAATGTCCCGACTCAGTGGCTGCAGCCGACAATGTGAAGCAGTGCAGTGGTGGTGGGGCCCACCGGTTCTGGTGGGACGAGCCGAACGTGTCGGAGCTGAGCCTTCACCAGAGCCACCAGCTGATGTGGGTTCGGGAAAATCAAATGGTTTATGACTACTGCTCAGATGAGGCTAGGTTCTCGGAAGTCCCTGTTGAGTGCGAGCATCACCGGCATTAGGGGGGGTTCGGGTTCGGGTGGTGAAGGGTGTTTCGGTCATTTTGTAAAAAAGGGGTGGGTTTTTTGACATGAGCTACATGTGTTTTCATTTGTGTTTTCTTTGGGTTCTTTTGTTGTTCTAGTATGTGCTTCAATCTAGTTATGGCATTTTGTAGTTTAGATGGATCTTTTGTTTCTTCAGTTCATTTATTATTATTATTGTTGTTGTTGTTTGAGATATTGAATTCTGGATTTCAGTACAATTATTGTGGGTTTTGGTGGCCCTTTTTGAGAATTGGGTAGGTGAGTTGATAAAGTGGTGATTGGACACCTCATTGGACACATGAGGTACCATAATAAGAAAGAAAAAACGAAGGAGGGATGAATTTCACCATTCATCCTTGGATTGTATGGAAGTGGTGGCGAACAAAAACTTGTTTGAGCCCGTTTATGTTTGATCAGAACTCGTTAGTTTGTTAATTGAATTGAGTTCGGACATAAAATTAAGCTTGTTTTAGTAATCGAAGGAACACAAGTTCATTCGCAAATATTTAGTGATATTCACGAACATTAATTTGATGTGATTCTATTTTATTTTTTGCATATTTACAAAATATTTTTAATAAAAAAATCTAAAATCTAAAATATTTTATTTTATTATTTATTTTCGAGTTCAAACTAACTGTTTTCGAGTAAATCAATTATATTTAAAAAAACTTTATTTTCTAGATTATCGAGATATTGATAAGAACTAATATTTTAAACGAAGGCAACGTGCTTTATTTTATACATAAAACTCAATTTTTTAAACATTTTTAAAAGAGTTGACTTCAATGAATTTTTTTTTAAGAAACTTGAAATCAATTTTTATTTAAACGTGATAACACCATACTTAAGTAGTAAGTTGTCAAATTATGAAATGAATTTTTCTTCACTATAGCCAATAAATCCTTGCCTTTATTATATGGCAATAGATTATTTTTTTTTAATTTATTTTCTGCCCCACTTGTAGGTCTTGGAGAGGTTTGAAAAAAACTCAAACTTGGTTCAAAAACACAAATTTCAAACCTCTTCTTTGTAATAATAAACCTTAGGTTAGCCCAAGGGGCGTAGGCACTTGTAACGTGCCCGGACTCTAGCTCAGGCTGACTTTGAAATAACCACAAATTTTTATATAAAATTCTCATTTTTTTTTTTTTCAATTCTCCTTTTATTTCCAAGTTAGCTTGATCATATATTGAGACCCCATAAACAATTCTAATCAAGCTATTAAACATACTTTTTCATTTCAAGGTTATCGTCTTTAATATTTTGGTTATGATATGTAAGTGAAATACTTTTATTTTATTATTTATGTGTTGGAATATATACATTTTTTACCAATAGATTACGATATTTTTCTTCTGATATTTTTAGTTTTCAATTTTTCTCTTGCACCCATTAAAATGCCAATACCATTTCTTAGATTCAAAATGATGAAATCTAAATGTTTATGATCAAAATGCACGGCATTTCATAACGTAAATATGTATTTTATTAACTAGACATGTTCTCGGTTACGAAACAACCGATTACGGTTGATTAAATATTCGAATAGTAATAGTAACCAGCTATTGGCACTTTGTAGTTGTTGAACCGATAATTACTGTTACGGTCCGGTTGGAATTGCTTGTTTTCGATTCGAGCTGTCAGTTTTCCGTTATTATTCTAATGTTAAAAATTGAATAATTCTTTAGAAACTACCGAATTTTTTAAAAGGCGTCTATTTTCCAAAAAAAAAAAGACGGTTCAAACAATTTTCCACTATTTTTTTTCTAAACTTTGAGAAATCATTAACCTTTGATTTTTTTTGTTCCTTCCCCAAAATTTTCAGTTTTTGTTTCTTCTATTCAAATAACCAAACCTTAATGCAGTTTTGATATTTTTCAATCTGTAACCGAACTATCAAATCGTAATAGGAACTACTATCAACAGTTAACCGAACTATTGATTGACGGTTCGATCCGCGTGTTACCGGTTCGTTACAAATCTTGAAAATGTCTATTTGTGATATTGTCATATTTTATTAAAATAGTTCTAGCTCAGGTAAACATTGAATCCTGGCTACGCCCCTAGTTAGCCCCATGGCATGTTGTCCAACAGTGGAGTATGTGAATACACAATTCATGTTGTGTACCTCGGAGCTCGGGGGATCGAACCTGATTGTCATGTGGAGTGAATGTGGGGCCGTTCAACACCTAAGAGAATTACTCACGCCTCTTTGTTGGATCCCCACGCCGTTAGGCTCGTAACTCGTGTAGGGGCCTGAAGTAGGCTGTGAAGTTTTGGCGTGAATGTAAGGATACTTTAAAAAAGAGAGAAAGAAAAGAAAAAAAAAATAAAAAAAATTTCATAGGTTTGTGTTTTTTAAACTTCTCCAAAACCTACTAATGAAGTACCCTTATATAAGCCATTAAATTATGGTAAGCTAATGAAGCAATTAAAACAATCAACCATTATATTTTGATTAGACAACAAGAAGGTCCAATGGGACCAGTTAATTATTTATTGGGCTTCATAAGAGGATTCAGATTACATACCCGTAACATTGGGCCTAATCGCTTTTACTTCTCAATTAATTACCTTAGTTTTCAGCAAAAATACAATGAGAAATTTACTCCTTGTACTGTAACTTTAAATCTTATTATTAAGATTATGAGATAATGATCTTATTATTATAAGTATGTCTTTTAATTAATAATCTTTTAACAAAAAGTAACTTACCAAAAAAATTGACACAGCAGTAATGGACCACAATAGTGGACCTAATCGCTCTTACTTCTCAATTAATTACCATACTCATCTGCTAAAAAGAAAAATAAATATCGCTATTTTCGTTTCTCCCTGCCTTATCGAAATTGATCCAAAAGAAGAAAAAAAAAATCTACTTATCTCCTCAGGGTGATTATGATTTAGTATCAAAACCAAGCATCCAAGAACAATAAATAACGGTTTGAGTTCTCAAAGAAAACATGGAGACACCAGAAAGAAGTAAAGGAATATTGCGAACATGGGTTAAAGCAAGATGCTTGAATCTTCAAATTATCGACAAGTCTTCATTGATGAAGACGAAGAAAACCAATCAGTTGGCATTAAGGCGGACTTCTCTATTGATGAAGACGATGTTATGTAAAGTAGACATATGTTGTTTATTTTATATATAACTACATTCGTTTTGGATTTTGCAGTCATTTTAGAATTCTGTATTATGTTTTATCTCGTATCAGTGTTGTTTATATGTTGTTTATCTTTTGTATAACTATACGGTTAATATATGAGAACTGTCATATCATGTTTATCTGATGTATATATACACTATATCTGGACATATGAGATTTATGAATCATGTATTATGTTTTATTTCGTTTAAGTGTTGTTTATCTTTTGTATAATTATACGGTTAATATTAGAGAACTGTCATATCATGTTTATCTGATGTATATATACAGTATCTCTGAACATATGAGATTTCGTGACGAACAGTTTGTTCTTTTCCAATCCCGATCGAAGCTTTATTTTTTTTTAGTATGATGAACGATTTTTTTTGGAACTCAAGATGTGGAAGAACAGAAAAATCCATTTGAATTTATGAATTCGAGAATTCCTTAATTCTAAGTATCATATTTGGTAACTTTTTCTTTATTTTTTTTTCTAAATTTTCATTTTCTTTGCGGGTCATTCAAGAAAATTGATTGCCTGCCTGATTTATGGAGAGAGAAACCGATCATTAGGTGAGAGAAAGGTGAGAAAATTGATTGCATAATTGATTTATGGAGAGAAACCAATCATTAGATGAGAGAAAGATAATCTCATAAATGTAAAAATAAATATCACATACAAGTTCCTTTTTTATTAAACTTTCTTTAATACGTAGATATGTAAATATATCCTACATGCACTCTATATATGTAGATTTTCCAAATACATAGGCACACTTTTCTAGTCACATGTAAGCAAGATTATCGTACTGACAAATATAATAATATATATAATATGAAAATAATAAACGAAAATGATCGGATTCACTAAGAACTTATCAATAAAGCTGTAAAAAATCCAACAATCAATTTTAGGTTTTTATTTTTAAGTTCATGATGAACTTATTATTTTTTCAGTAAGATTAATTATTGACTATGATTTGGTCCTCCTTTTTCTTTTTTGGCATTCAACAACCTCGGTACAATTCGTGATTATTGAATCAATTATCAGTGACCAGTTACCAATATTACTGGTGGTTACCAATAATATTAAAATAATTTTATTAATATGGTAAGTTTAGTTGTTGTATATAGAAGGTTGACTCTACTATGGAGCCAACTATTGACTTCATAGCAAAACCGTGAGTCCATATAATTAAATACTACAATTATATAGTCTGCAATGAATATTAAAATTGGTAGGTTGGGTTGATGAAACAATCACTTGCAAATGTGTGATAAATTGAAAAATATATTCGGATGTAATAAGGTTTATTTGATAAATTATTTAGTTACTGGCGACAGGAAACAAGTGTCTACTGTGTAATTAAAAAACAAAAAAAAAATTGTGTGTTGGACGGTGGTGAGCAACCCGGTTTACACTCTCCCATAGTATAAATTTACACAGGAAATTAATTCCCTCAACAAAATAAATTAAAATGATAAAGAATGATGTTAACATATAAATTAATGACATTGGCTTTTTCTACGAGTCATTTATGAAACGAAATTTTGGAAAAAGTTAGTCTAAATACTAATAACAATCTAATTTAAGCTGATATTAATTATATATGGCATTGTGATTTTTTTTAATTTCCATCTTAATTGAGAGTTCATATCTTAAATTAGCTAAATTGATCCTTAATTAGATATCAGTACTAAATAAACTGAGTTCACATATGATTCACATGAAACTCGGTCTTCGATCAGCTGAAAAATATCAGAAAGTGTTTTCACTTCACGATATACTTTATAAAAAGATTAATAAATACAAACATATATATATGATGTTACAACAATATCTATTTGAAATTAACATACAAAATTATGTGTCAA